ATATAAATAAAAACTTTTTAGAGAACATGTACTTTTAAAATAAAACTTTCACAAACTGTTTTTCCTTGTTTCATCACGTGATTTTCTACAGCACCAGAAAGCTCTGTGCTGAATTGCAATGGGGCGGAGCGAGAGTATTTCTATCATTTATTTAAAGATAATGCAATTGGTTTGCTATCGGGGAAATGCGGAGGCTTCCTCTCCTCTCCAAACCGACCTGCAAGAGCCTCTGGTGAGCAGGGAGGTTTTGCTGAGGCTCTGCAGGCGCACCCTTCTAACAAGGGCTGCCTTTCTCCTCCTTAGACAGCTTCCGAAAGCAACCATTAAGCCTATCAAGTCAGAAATCACCATTTGGGATCTTTTAAATTAAAAAGCTGTTAAACTTGTTTAAATATAGCACAACTCAAGGTCGTTCTGGATCACTGGCCATAGGAAAGACAGGAAACAAATCTACAGCGAATTTGGTATTTTCTACCAATTACTCTTATCAAAGCACCACCATCACCAAGAGACCTTTCTCATGTAAAGAAGCATGACGGGAAAATCGCCAGGGATTTTGGCCAAAGGCCAGTCATTTGAGGAATAATATTTAACCTGCAAGGTTTTTTTAAGGAATAACCACTGCCCTAAACCCCTTTGCTCTGGCGAACTGCTATCCTTACTCTGGGGCAGGTTTGATTGAAATTGCAGAAGAAGAGCATCCCTCCAGCCAAGCCCAGGAGCACCGAGTTTCCCAAGTGCCTGGGGGAAGACAAAGCTGTCTCCCAACCAAGATAGGCCAGGACACATGATAAGACCCAGAGGAAGGGGTATTGTTGTTTAGTTGGACCACAACACTGGGCTAAAGAGGAGACATTACCTCTTGTTTACCCATGTAAGCTCTTGCAGAAATATAGAGAAGAAAGATATGGACCTAAGGCATTTCCACATCTGAATTGGAACATCACACGGCAATTTAATGCATTTCAGCTTCTGCCTGTTGCCTTCCTACCTAGATTTGCCTTAATTTCCCTTAAGCATCTCTGTTGTGACAACTCCTCCCACCCAGAGGCTGTCTCCTTCACTTGGGAAAGATGCTATCTGTACGCGGGGGTTTTCCAAGACAGCAAGAGCAGCTCAAGACTGCACTGTAAATGCTGCTGCAAGCCTGGGGCAGGTTCCGAGCAGCCCAGGGTGGAGAAAGAGCCCCAAAGCCTCGACCCACCACTGACCCATGTCCGAACACCAGCGGTGAGCAACTCAGCCCCATCTGTGGCCATGGCATGCTTGCTGGGCCAGTGCTTGCTGACGCCTTTCCCCGGGTCCTCTCCAGACCTTGCCTCCACACAAACCAGCTAAAAAAACACAGCTGCCATGCCGATTATAAAAACAGGTTTCAGCAGCGAGGACTGGAGCTGTTTTGCCTACAAGGGCAGAGGAATTTGTATGACACAGGAAGACTCAAAAATAATCAGCAGAACACAGCCATTTAAGAGCAATGTTTTTTAAGCCACTCAAAAAGCAAACTCTTCCAAAAACAGGGACTGATAACATACTCATTATATAAATTCAACCCATTACAATAATATTTACCAGTGCTTGGAAAGACATCCTGTTGAAAGTTTGTCTTTTAGGCAAGCATGCTTGTAGCTGGTACCACAGAAATTACTTCTAAAAATGCTTTGGTGAGCTGGACGCTCCCAAAAAGCCTGTGCGTGCCTCCCTTTGCCCCGGCTCAGGAGGCTGGATGGCCAAAGAGCATTGCCCAGGTCTTTGCTAGCGGCTTTGCATAGCTGGACTGTGCACGCAGGCACATTCAAACCCCGCTTTGCCACGATCAATACAACACCAAAGCTTGGAAGGGAGCTGGTGACAACTAACACATCAGAGTATATACAACCGCTCAGTGTGTCTGCCTGCTCCGCCGACTTGAGCTGGCCAGCACTGGGAGAGCACACCTTGCATCAGGCCATACTCGCTGTGCACCCGCCTGTTTTCCCGGTTTATTAGCGCTCCTCAATTAGCCGAGGTTTGCATCCTGATTGTCTGGACACATTCTCCTCTGACGGAGGGTCACGGAGGTTTCCACCTTGGGATCACACCCTGTTCTGCCTTTGAGCAGAAGCCAGAGTTCTTCATTATTGAGCTTGACTGCTGTATGTAAACAGCACACATAGGGAAGAACCTGGCTCATCAGCAAATGAGGCTTTTATTGCCATTTTCCTCAGAGGAGGCCTAAATTCAAAGCACCGAGACATGCAAGTCTTGTCAAGCAGCAGGAGTCCCTTCTTCAACTTGCGTCTGGTTGTTCTTCATTTTTGCTGCCTTGAGCAATTCTGCAAAAATTCCTTTGAAACTCAGGAGGCAGATAGGTTCAGCAATGCCATGTAAAAACTGAACAAAACCTAGTACTGGAGTTTTAAAGCATGTAATGAAGAGCAAGTGCTGAAAAGAAGACAGTCTTTGTAAGCCAAAGGTCAAGGCTGTACATCCAGAATTCCAATTTGGGGATCAATCTGCATGCATCCAGTTTGAGATGCACAGAAAGAAAGATCCCAGGTTTACCCTTATGATTTTTAAGACTTACTTAAAACGAACCACTGAGATTGGGTTAGTTATTAGCAGAAGGCAGTGCACTTATCAGTGGTAATTAAAGTCCTAGAAGCAGCCTGTGGTGGACAGAGGAGGGATAAAATGCCTAAAGGAGCAAAGAAAAAAGAATGCACAGGATGGTCAAACAGAAATTATTCTGCTTGTGAAAGAAATAAATTATGGCCACTAAAATAAAAATTAGGAGAGTGAAGAACTCTGGCATAAATGATCACAACTTATTGCAGGTATAACCATCAGTGCAACCCCATGAGCCTGCTGGACCAGTGGAAAAGGAAGTGCTAAAAGCTAATTAATTTTAAGAGTTCTTACATCTGTCTCTCCTGATAACAAGAAGTTACATGACCCCTGCTAGCTTCAGAGCACTCCTCCATATAAACTGATGAATATAAAGAATCGCAGAAGGATGCGGCAAAGTAGCCGGATTTGAATCAAACGAAGCCTTTAATTAGCAGTCCTCTACAGCTTTCTGTCTCAGGGGCATCCTCTGCCTCCCATGCCCCCTTCGCCAAGGTCTCCGTTTTTTTTTTTTTGCAACATGGCACGGATAAGGTGCAAGGAGCTGGTGCCAGGGAGCAGAGTGGACTCAATAGCTGCTCCTAAATGGCTCCAAGCCTCTGTGGAGCCAGAGACAAGCACGCTACCGGCTTTTTGTG